AAGAAATGAAGAGGAACATCTGGTGTGACATATAAAATAAAACAATGACATACTAATGAATTGGCTCTCAATGGGGAGCTGCTGGTTCATCAATGACAGGTAATACTGTAATTCAGAGTGCTGAGTGATGAGGATTCCTTCACCACTTTTATCATATTGGGGCCTGCCAGCTCTACCCAACATCTGGAGGACATCCAGCATACCCAACTCCACCCACCTTCCTTTCTCTGGACTATACACCTAACAAAGAAAAAGAACATAAAGGAAACAAAATAACAATAATAATACTACATCAAGTTTAAATTAAAATAATAAAAATATAATTTTAAAAGAAGCTATACATGTATCTCCATGATGTATATTTACTATCACTCACTATAGCTACCTCTCCCTTTCTAATATTTAAAAACACATTATCTAACAGAATATTATTTTAAGACAGAGTGAGGTTATACTGTACATGTATATGTAGGCATAGCAATAGAGGACACACAGAACATGTGTATGACTATAAGTGGGTGAGATGGAGCAACTGTTTCACAATCCTTTTACTTAAAAACACAAAAGCAATGTCTTAAATAAATGTACATTTACATGTAAATTGATCATGTACTGTACATGTACATGTGTGCACAAGCTTAGAGCACTCAGTACCTGTGTTCCTTTAATAATGACAGTGTGGGCAGGAAGGTTCACACCCCAGGCAAGTGTTGCAGTGGATACTAGTATCTGAATATGACCATCAGCAAACAGTTCCTCAACTAGTGTCCTATCAATCCTGTTCATGCCAGCATTGTGAATAGCAAAACCATAAGGCAACAGATCCTTCAACTCAAGATTCTAACAGGTAATATATTACATTTATGCACATAAAGGACTGATTAATTTCCATCTCTCTTACTTTAGTTTGTTCTGCTTCAGTTCTCAATACTTCAGTAGAGGCACTTCCTTCTTTCAAGAACAGTCCCAGGGTATCCTTCTCTAGGCACATGTCTCGAAGTGCCTTGGCAGTTTTAACAGTTTCTTTGCGAGAATGCACAAAAACCAGTACCTGCTGCTTCCCAGCACTCTCTATAACTTTATCATATACTATCTCATTTATCAGCTACATGTAAAAAGAGCCAGTAAATTACATCAGTGTGATACAGCATACAACATAAATGCACATGTAAATGGTAAACCCCTTAGGTGCGCAGTAACTACAATTAACATGCATCATAAATACAGTATACATGTACTTACCTGAAATCTCTTAAGAGCTTTCTTCTCAGTCACTCCAATGTAACTCTGCTCCAGGGGAACTGGACGGAAGCTATTATCAAAATAGAAGAGACCTTTGGCCGGGTCGACTCTAAGGAACGTAGCAACATCTTCATAGTTTGGTAGAGTAGCTGAGAGACCAACTAGACGTATTGGGTCTTGAGTGGCTTCAATCTGACGGATAGTTCTAGCAACAATAGCCTCTAACACAGGACCACGAGTATCATGCAATAAATGAATCTCATCCTTTAGGAAAAAGAGGAAAAAAATAATTACAATTATGTGTCAAACACATGTAACAGGCTAACAGCATTGCCTTACAATGATAATTAATCTGACTAGTTGAGTATATGATCTATCTCCACCCTTTCTGGTAATAATGTCCCACTTCTCTGGAGTACACACAATTACCTATTCAAGAAGTCATTAAACTTCTTTAGCTAGTAATTCTTACCTGAGTGGCTGCAACCTGCTCTTTGGTAAGCTGATGGTCACCAGTTAATTCACTGACTGTGATATTGTAACAAGCTAAACGCTAAGAAAGAGAAAGAGAGATTTTACTAAAGAGAAATGTGCATATTTATTTATTTATTTGAGGACAAGTCCAGCTAATGCCTCAAAGATGTTGCTTAACATATTCCTCAGCCCATACTGAATACACACTCTCAGTCTTTCTGCTCAAAACTCAAAACACCAGACACACACACACACATCAAATAATCTAGAAATTAAGTCACTATTACTGTACTAGCATGTAGCTATGGCTGCATGGCCTAGAGAGGGGAACTGGGGGGGGGGCTAACATGTTTACTGACACTAAACTCTTACCACCTACATGTATAGCTGCCTTCCTTATAAAGCTGTTCTACCAATAAGGCTCTACTTGTATTAATAGTTGAAACACTTACAGCTTCACTAACAGCACCTCTTTTTCTAACCTGCCCTCAGTCATCACATGCCATGTGTTCTGAAGCCAGAGCCTGCCAGACTGGAAGGAGGGGGAGAGGTGTGTTTACATGCATGGGGTACAAGGGGCAGGCTGATTAAATATTGAAAATTCAATTTCAAGTAATTGAGTTTAATGTTGAAAAACTCATGAAACCGTATAAAACTGGCAATATGATGGCATGGGTAGAGAGCAAAGTAATGGGTAAGAAGAAGAAGAGAAGGTCTCTTGTGGGAATATATGATGTCAGACATATTATGAAAGTGAGAATAATTATTAATAACAGATGGTTACAACCAAAAACAAATTGCTAACAAAATACTCTTTACATACTTTACTAAAATTGGCGACCATTTCTTGGACAAGGGACCTCATTGGTGCAATATAGACAATCTTAAAATCATCCAAACTGACAGAAGTGCTGTCACCTGGTGTAGCCATGTGCTTACTGATCTCTCTTGCTATACACAATAGGGCTACATTAGTCTTACCAGCACCCTATCAATTAATAATGAGGAGAGGAAGAGAGGGAGAAAGAAAAGAACATGTGTATACTGTAAAAGGATTCATTTTTGTGTGTACATGTATTTAATCTTCTACATGTAGCTTCCTAAATCTTTTTTAATTTTGGGGCTTTAAATAATTTCACAAATGGACAGCTAAGGAAAACTTGTACATAATAGGATTCTCTATTTACAGTATACACTGTACATGATAAAAACTAGTAGATGGACATGTATACACATACATAGCTCAGTATACCCTATAAAGCTTTAATTTGGCGGAGTTTTATTTTGGTGATTGGCGGTTTGCAAGTAGAATTGCCAATATTAAAACCGCCAATCATAAATGCGCATGCTCATTAATGCACATGCATGTACACAAAAATTGCCAAATTAAAAACCGCCAATTACAATTTTACAGCAAAATCGCCAAAATAAAGTGCTACACGGTATACTCATAACCTGTTGATCAGATATGACTCACTGTAGGTGCACAGAGCAACAGGTTCTCATCAGACTGCAGTGCCACATCAGACAATCGACTCTGAATACGATTAAGACTCTTATATGTCATGAAAGCTCCTTGGGCCCAGACTGGTAGAGAACTGATTGGCTTTAAAGACTATCAAAAAGGAGGAGTAATAACTGATGGATTTCCCCTGACAAGTTGACCTTACCTCTTTCACTTCATAAGGCTTTGATTTTTGAGCAGGAACATGGACCTCTTCATAACCTTAAAAGACAACAACAACAATAATAATAATAATAATAACACATGATCATGTGCTGTATGAAAATTTTGACCTGATTTCAATAAAATTTGAAATTTTAAAACCAAAGTCACTGTACTATATAAATGTAGTACATAGTCTTTGGCCAAATGTTACCAAAATAAGTAGGAGAAATTCTCCATTTTAATAATTTTTCTGATGCATATACATGTACATGTTTTTATGTTGTGTAACAAGACTCCAATCAAACTTGAGTTTTTTTTACAAATTTTTAGTGAAAAATTGTAAATTTTGCAGATTTCAAAATTACTTGAAGATTCGCAATTACATGTATTTGAAGATTCACAATTATTTGAATATTAGCGAAAACTAATTCTGTGAAAATGAATTTATTATGGCAAAAGATAGCAGACAGTATAATTTCAGAAAAATTAAATCCACAAAATTTACAACCCACAAAAATTTTGAGCTACATGTACATGTATAAGGTACTAAAAGCCATGTACAGTAAATGTACATGTACTGGGTGCTTGTCAGCTCATGAAGTATGCTTTGTTGGAAACCTTAGTTTGTCATATAATTTGTACCTTTTTTAGTTTGGCGGTAAGACCCAGCTGGGAGCTGACATCGTTTGTTAGCCATAAAATGGCTTCCCTGAGTAAATGTCATCTCATCAAGATCAAGAACCTTACGAGAACCCATCTGGAGGTGAAAATAAAGAGAGAATAAGAGATAACACAGAATCAATATGATACCTTACCTTCTTCTTTTCTTTCTGTGTCATGTCCTCAGCTGTTAAATCAGACTCAAGTTTAGACTTCCTAGCAGCAGCCTTCCTTGCCCTCTCCTCCTGTACAATGTCCTCATCCTCTACCTCTGACAGTGACTATTAAAGAGAGCAATCAAATAAGTTGTACATGCATACATTTGTATGTGTGCTAGCTGCTTCCAGTATAGTAGTATACAGTCAATTTTGCTGTTAAAAAATTCATGTAACTACTAATCCTAGAATATCAATGTACATGTACCCTGAAAGGCTATGGATGAGTTCTGGTAACATAATCAGGCATCACAATAATTCCTATACATGTACATGTAATAATACATGTTGCAGTTTATTTTGCCAAAATATTTTTAATTGAAAAAACACAACAAATATTAGAGCCCTTCATAAAATTAAGGAATAAATGTACATGCATATGTATCTCATCTTTATCTATCAAGTTCTGATGCAATCAGAATTCATATTCAGCAAATAACCCAATTCCAAAATAATGAAATAAAAAATGATACATGCATTTACATGTACCAAAATGAGAGAGAGAGAGAGTAGTCAAAGTGCAGTGCAGTGATAATAAGGTGGGGCTACAAATATGACAAAATATGCTCTTTTCTTCCATTTCGACAAAAATAAATCAGACTACCTGTTACTTACTTTCAAAATGGCTGCCTTCACAGGATCAGAAATCATCTCCTCTTCTAGATCACTCTTAGCTTTAGCTGTCTCAGCCTTCGCCAATAGAGTACAATAAAGAACTGGGAGAAAGAGCAATCATGAATCATAACAATTACCATGTACATCTACATGTATGCATGTCTCTCACCAGTCCATCTGTTTTTAAACAATAACTTAATGAAAGCAAATTGATCCATTCCTAATTGAAGAACCAACTTATTTTCACAATCTCTATCATCAATAGCATTCTAAAAGAGGGCCGGGGGAAGGAAGGGAGAAAGAGAGAGGAGGAGGAAAGCAAGGTAAGGAAGGTAGAGATGTCTGTGTGTGTGTCCATAACAAATACATGTACAAGTACATTCCTCTCATTAAACAATTAAATAAATATTTTTAGTACATGTAATTTCACCAGACAATTACAACCAAACACGTACATGTACGTCGCATGCACTACAGAAGCAGGCCACATTCTTCTATCAATTAGGTAGCATTATAAACCCATACATGTAGGGTTAGGACAATAACTCCCAAATATACATAACGGTTATAGCATTTCAAAAATTCGGTCAAACTAGCAAACACAAATTATTGCAATTATACCTAAACATGATACACCATTCATACTCACGTACCTTGAGAATGTCCAAGACTTCATCAGCTTTCTTTTGTGAAGCCTACAAATGAAATAGAATAACCGAAACTGAGGCATGAAGGAAGAAAAAATAACAACAAATGCATGCAAGAACAACAAATGAATTGATACTGATCAGATACAGAGAAAAGAAGAGACATAATTACTAAAGGATCTTTCATAAATTTATTTATTTCTCTCTGGAGCCAGTAGGCATCAACAGTCCTGGGCTCTAATGTATCTTTCTGCCTTGAACCAGCCCCACCAGCTTCAGTATCCAACTACACAGGATTCACATTATGAGCCTCACATCAGTACAGTGGCATTAGAGTAACTCACATGAGTTTGAAGGACTCCCTCATAGTCTGCTTCAATGCCTTCATTATCCTCTTCTTCTCTCTCTTCTCTCGCCACACCTTTCTCCAAGTGCAGTTCCTAATGAACATTGTACATACACAAGCATAGGCATATAAATGTAAACACTCCTTTATCTCCAGCTCTCATACATGTATACATGTACATGTACATGCAGCTAATATAAATTGGTCATGCAACCATGTTTGATTAAATAAGTGTATAATTTTGTAAAAATGCTAATTAGCAAGTGGGGAGTGGCACAGGCCATAGTCTTTAAATTCGTGTACATTAGAGATGAGCAATTAATGTATAACAGTTTTCTGATGGTACTGTGTAGCCATAAATGGCTCAGTTAGCAAAGAGCCATGCATACTCACTTGCTCTTCATCTTCATTAAATACAACAGCAACTCCGTATGTTTCATCAATGCCTTCATCTAGACAAAAGAGAGGAAATTAAGAAAGGAGATATGTACATTAAACAACTAAAGCAACTTAAGTATCATTATACCTCCAGCTGATGCTTGCTTGTCAGCTCCATAGTCAGCTATCTTTCTGCTAAGACCCGAAAGTTGTGCAAACTGTTCATCACTTATATCACCAAGTAATGAATTAATCTCTTTATGCTTCTCTTTCTCCTGCAGGAGACGGAGAAAGAATGAGATATCAAATTACAAGAGTATAGAATGACATGACATACTTTCATCCGCTCTTCTTTTAGTGTGGCCAATACTTCATCAGCAGCTCCACAAAGAATATCCCTCGGCTAATACAATACAATAAAAGGAATCATAATACATACACACGCACACACTGTGCACACAAACTTAGTGCAAGGAGTTACGTGTACATATAGATTGAAAAATAATAAAGTGAAAAATAAATATACACACACATGCATGTATAAATGGCAACATACATGTACATGTAGTTACTAGTATACTGAAGAATCTCAGTAATAATGAAGGCAGTTAAGTTAATACATGTAAAATAAACAAAGAAAGGAAACAGGGACAACCAACAATAATCATAAGTAAAAGCAATGTAGCTGCATAGGTGTACTATACATTGTAAGAGTTGTTAACATTAACACAGCAGTAATGTATGTGTGCCTGTGTATTACAGCTAGATGTGCAATAGACAAAATGATTTTAACACAAAGCCAAAGTTTACATTTAACATGCAGACACAGTGCATTCCATTGATATTGTAATACCTATCAACATAAACTGTTGAATAATCCCTGTCTCTACTTCTATACACTGTTAAAAGGTCACTTCATTACTGACCGTCATTATAATTTATTTATCTTATAATATACATGTAGCTGACAGAGTGCAGTGATATGTACATGTACATGTACCATAATAGTGAGAGAGACTGAGAGAGAAAGAGACACATGTTCACAACAGAATGTGTCTATGCATGCATATCCCATTACAACATAATAGTAAATCAGAATTGTACTCCATAAAAATACAATAAGTAGTCACATTACACATGCTCTTTCTGTACCACTCCTAGTGATACTAATTTGTACATGTACACCCAATTATGATGTACGAGTGAGTGTGTGGGCAATGCTACACGTATACAATTAGGTACAGTATTTGTACTGCTACAGTACAGTAGTAAGTGGGTGGTAAAGTAAAATAATAAAATTAAAAGGCTAATAGATATCCTGATAATATAATATTGAATTACCTGATCACCAATAGATTTCTGTATGAAGGTAAGCAACAGTTCATACGTCTCACGCGACTCTTTAGTCCTTGGACGATAATAGAGTCCTGATATCTCCTCCATTTCCTTGGAGAGGAGTCCTCCTGATCCTTTAGGTATAAAAGAATAGAACTCTGAACTATCATGTCTGGGCTTTTTCCTGTATTAAAATACATTCATAATTTCAATTTTGTGCAAAAACACAAAATTCATAAAAAAGATGAAAACCTTCTAATATTATAGATCAATCAATATGCCTCATTGTTTTCCTTCACTTTTTAGGTCCTTTTTCTTCATCAGGAGGGCGTGTCCTTTGTGCCCTGTCTCCCATTCTAGTCCCAGAGAGTTTACCAACTAGTGTCAGCACCTCACCTGTGGCCTCATCCTTCCCACGTCTTTGAATCAGAGAAGTATCAGCTTGCAGTACAAGATTGGATGTCTATAGTTTATAATTAATATTAATCACAAGAACACCCCTTTTAATGACCTTCAGTTACACATACATGTACATGTACAAATGTATACATGTACTTAATTCTTAATTATGTGTAAAACATGTATCATGTATACATACAGTACAGTGGCAAATTTTAGCTGAGCAGAATCAATTTCATCATGCTGCCGGGGCCAAGTGATAAAAATATAATTACCATCCTTACAAGGTATGGTCATACATGTACATCATACGGACATTCTCAAATCATAAAATGACAAATGTTTTACCCAATAGATACTGTGAATTTGAAGGAAAATTACCAGTACATTACATTTTTAGTATTAATATTATAGATCACGTGATCGACCATGTGATAAAATACATGCACCTAGGCTGCTCAGTTCTAAACTCACCGCTCCATACTCATACTGAGCAGCACGAGCGTGTTCCTCAGCCATTGGACAGGGAGATAGTGATGTGTCTTGGGCCCTGCTACGTTAGTTTCACGTACTAAATGCCTTCCCGCTCAAACGTTCACCAAACGTTGTGTTAATTAGAGTATTATAAGTTATTAATTCAGTTTTAATAACTGGTCATCTTTAATAGCCTCAATCTCCTCCCATTTTAATCAAAAATGTAATGGTTTTGCAGTTGCACTTGAGCAGTTCTGTAGTGGTTAAGGCTGATAAGGCAGCATTTTCATTAAGTGAAACTGATAGTATGCATGCTGGATAATATCAATTAATTTGTTTGGAACATGCCAATTAAATGTAGGATTGAATGGGTGCAGATAGATTTTAATTGCCAAATAAGTTGTATCTAAAATAGTTGTATGAAAGCAGCTGTGATGTATACATTATCATTATGGTACAATGTACAATATTATACACATGTATTTAAATTTTTAACTGTAATTTTTTGTTTTCATATAAATTACTAACAAAATTATTTTCATCCGTATTACCAGCCATGATTTTGCCACAGAAAGAGACTCAGTAAGTCCTTGCAAAATATACTGTCAATGGGCCAGTGAATAACTTATATTTGTAGAATAGAATTTGCGCAACATACTTACAATCTCAGGTAAAACCAGGCTACTTTGGTGATAGTGCATCCAGAAAAAAGGAAAGAGTTCTACCTCTTGTAAACAACTAAGTCCTTGTAGTCAACTATAACAAATGAATAGCCTGACTGAAATTGTCATACATAAGGACTGACGTTCTTTGTGATGAAACTCTTGGATAACAGGACTGTAAATGAATTTAAGTTTTTACCACCTTCTAGAATAGACATAGTGTATTTTAATCGTAAATCGAATATCTCTATAATAGTCTGAAGTATTGAGTTCTTATCAATGACACTCCAAGTAACCATATACACAAAACATGTTGCATTCCACAAGCATTTTGTATATTCATTTGCGCCATTGCCTACAGGGACTAAAATTTACAGACAGACACAACAGGTTGACCAATATTGTCTGTAACAAAGTTATTCATAAAAAAACAAAGCTGATCAACCAACCTAAGTGCAAGTTTTTTCTGATGATGACTCTCGGTCAAGGGATGACACAACCTCCATCTGTACCATAATATACAGACAAACACCAGGATGCTTCTTGCTTTTATTCATTGTAAGCTCTATACTAATATCAGCTTAATCAATGCTTTTGCATTCAAATCTGTACTCTCTAACCACAATTTTATAGAGCTCTTAATACTTTAGTGATCATGTATATTCGAAAATTCGTTCAACTTGATCTGAAAAATCAACTAAATCATAGACTTTCATAGGTTTCTCACCCATACGGCACTGTAGTGTAATATCTCATGAGGATCATAATCACAGCTTGATTTGGACAGTTGAATTTTGTACTTAAAAGGCACCCTTTATCATATCTTGACGAAGTATCAAAAAATTGCAGAACAACAACAACATAGTGTAACTTTCTGGTTGAGACTAGAGACTAAGAGAGTAGGAGACACTGTATGCCTCCATTAAACACCAACAATGGACTCCATGTGCATGCACGTGTACCCAGTTATTAATTTCAGTACTATAAATTTAATCAGTGCTATAAATTTAATTAAATATTCATGGCTGGATCTCCGCCCATATCATTTAATCAAAAATAAGTAACAACAAGTTATTAGTTTGCAGTTGAGCAGTTGCAAGGAAACGACTGAAAAGAATCTGCTATAGTTTGGATTCCTGCTGCTACTAGAGAGAGAGAGATCTAGCTTGCCCCTGGACTTTATTCTAGGCTTCTAGCTGCCTCTCATTTCGACCGCTATTATTATTGTTGAGTGGTGAGTCCCAAGGCGCTGAACTCGTTATCTCTCATCAAAGATGGCCAGTCCCCCCACGTCCCCCTCTACTCGGGTCTACAAGGAAGGGATCCTGCTAAAGCGTGCCAGAGGATTGAGGAACAGGAGGAACATAAAGTGGCAGGAACGATACTGCAAACTCACAGCTATCTCATTGGATTATTATGACCCAAAGAAAATGGTGAGAGACAAGAGGAGAGAGGGAGATGGAAACGTAGAATGGGAGAAGTGAGCATGTGTCAAGTCTTATTACATTACTTTGGTTGCTGTATCTGTTTACTACTTTTATTTGACACCTCTCCTTGGTGTGTCTTCATTTTCTCTTTCTATGTTTTGGTCGCTCTTTATTCTTGCCCCTATTTCTCTCTGCCTTTCCATCTCTTGGCCCTCCTGTCTGATCATTTCCTCTCTCTTTCTCTATCCTCCTTATACACTCCTGGTGATATGATTATAATTATGTCTTTAGTGTTATGGAACCTTTGAACCACTGATTACATGTACACACTGTACATGTACATGTATTCACTATTCATACATTGTGCATACATGATACATGGACTCACTCATTTGCATATACTCACATTCAAGCCTATATAGACCACCATGCAGTGACCAGTGATCATTCTCTGCGTTCCCCTCCCTCTCTAATTGTATTCATTTCCACACGTATCTTACTCACTCATTCATTTATCATTTACTCACTTTCCACTTGCTGTCTGCCTGCAGTGAAAACTGTTAACATTCCACAAGGTACAAGGACATTGTGCACACATGCAAGCCTACAATGTACGTGCACTCTCACTCTCTTTGTTTATGCATACTATCTATGCTTTTCCTCTCTTTCTTCCTCTCTTTATGTGTATCTATCCGGTTTTCGTGTGTATAATAATCATTCTTGGTATCGTTTTTATTGCTCCTTTTGCTTGTAAACAATCAATTGAGTTACAGTTTCAATCTCTTTTCCCTATTGCGGCCTACATGTGTATTCATTCAGACTTACCATAAACAATAAACTAGCCATTAACATGCATGCCATCCACACATTATTAATATATATAGTGTATTGATTGTGTTGATGAGTTTAGGAATGTATGCATGCTCACATATTATACCAATGTTGCTTACAAAATTTAATTAATTATTTTTAAATTAACGCTAGTACATAAAACTAAACTCATTTAGGACATTCTTTAACTATTCTTTGTCTCTCTCCCCACAGAGTGAGCTAAAGGGACAGTTTAAACTGGAGCAGATCAGTATAGTTGAGATCATTGCTCATGGGATGTTTGATAAATTAAAGGGACATCCATTTCAAGTGAGTTTTGGTATAAACAGCATATAATGCTTGTACTGCATCAATTAACTCACCAGCTGCACACTAGCTGCCTAATCTGTGGCATGCATTAACTTTTTGACTTGTAGCTGCTAATGGGTTGACATTTGTGGCATTTAGAAATGGGGAGATTACCACACACACAGACAGACAGACACACACATCACACACACCACATAACACACAAAGCCTTACAGCTAAGATTTACTCTTATAATAACTCTTAAATTATATATGGTACTGCTTATACAGATTTAAATTTTCAGGCATAAAATATACTTAGGCCTGCTACATGTACATGTATATTGTAACTACTGTAAATGTGCTTCTTTATATTATACTAAGAGTTGAACTTTATCTAATGGACACTTGGCTGCTTGTTAGAGTAGAGAGAAGTTGCCCTTGATTACTGGAATAAAGAGATGCCATACATGTGTACATACATATTCATATTATTATTCTGTACCATACAATACATGCATAATAATGATAATTTGACAAATAGATATAGTTGGCAGTCGTTTGGTTAAGGAAGTTCAATCTAGTAGCTAGAGTATATAGCAGAAGAATGGAGAGGAAATAAAGGAGGGAAGGAGAGAGGGATGTACATGTACATAGAAAACATAAAGGGAAGGAATGAGGCCGATAAGATTTTTAAGCTCATTAAGCATTAAATTCGTTAAATTGTGACTTGTTTGTTGCTTCTTGCTACCATTCCTCTCCCAAAGATTGAGGATACACAATTTTAGTAAAAAAATATCATCAAAACATGTACATGTACAGTATATTTATGTAGATGTATGCATGTATACATGTAGATGTATGCATGCATGTACATGTAGATGTAGTGTAGATAGAAAGGCAGACGTACACATGTACCCACCCTAAACTGCTTTGACTTCTCGAGCAATATTGACGTATAAACACGCACACAAATTTGATGGTGTGAATTTAATGTTTGTTGATATCTTTCCACTTTATGGTTTAAGCACTCTGTCATTGTTATAGATCATTACATTTGATGCTCTTAAATTCATTATTACTGACACATTGTGTGTCAGTATTGAGTAGAAATGAGCTATTAATTAGAGTATGAGTGTTGTGTGGGCTAATCGGAAACCTCTACAATACAATTACAATACATGAAACCTCTACAATACAATTACAATACATGTATGTGCACATGTACGTGTATGTATTGTATTATCATTATTTATATAAAAGTAATGATGTAAAGATTATGATCATTTTGTGGTTGATGTGTGTTGTCAACTGTTGATACATCACTTGTATTGATTCCTCATACTGTGAGTAACCTTTGAGCATTTTATGAACACTAATCTCATTGTATACTCACAATCCATACATTTACTCATTTATTTACTGTACTGATCTATTGACTATTTTATATGTGATGATTGCCATTCAATTAATACATGTATTATAATGATATATACACTATCATGTTACTCATTTATCTAATCTACATGTACATGTACATTGGCCCCATATACAGATGTGTACATTAGTTACATTTTTATTATGAATACACAGTTTACCACCTGTTTTATTGTTTGTTATAGAGTATTTATTTAAATGTTTAAAATCACGCTCTTACTTCCTTATGTCAACCGCCTTTGCTTTATAATCTCCTTTAAAGTAGATGATCATAGTTGTTGATTCAATTGTTATTGTGTGCTTTATATTGGTCAGAGTTACGTCAATCCACTGTTACGCATGTATTGTGAGTGATTTGTATAGCAGAAGTACTAGTGTACGCACCTCTTTCTCTCTCCTTTTCTCTTCATGTTTATTGTAACGTAGTGTTCTTTTGTTTCTCATTGTTAAAATACTGTTTAGTGTTTTGACTTGTGTGTCTCTCTCCGATGTCTTTCACTGTTTTCATGTTTATCATGTGTTTTTAATGTTACACTGGCACAGTTTTTAAAACCGAAATACGTTGTACATGTGTACATAATTTTGAAACAAAAATAGGTGAGAGGGACACTGCACTGTAATGATTATTATTGGGGCTTGTTGTGTGTTTGTGTATCTAGTACTTTTACTTGTCAACAGATTGCAGTTGCTGTTATTTTGCATGTCTGACTCGTTTTCCTTTAATTATGATACACAATGAACGCTATTCCAGTTGCTCCTCTAAATACGCATGAAGCTGTTAACTGTCTGGAAGTGATTGTATGCAACATGTATACACACATCTTCCAGTGAAATTGCTGCATGTAATTATAACTGAGTGTTTAAACATCCCCTCATTATCCTTCCTTTTATGTAGTACTTTTGTTCTATCTCTTTTTCTTTCTATCTCCTCTCTCTCTCTCATTGTAATTTGTTATTGTCATAGTTCTATGGTATGTGGGAGTATTTGGAGGTTAAGGGAATTAGAGGCAGCTGGTGTTTTGTCTGTCCTCACTGCATCTTTCTCTATCTCTTTAAAATTGCTTTGCACCACTGGCGTTTAGCACAAGGGCATGTTTGTACATTTACTCACACATGACCTAGGTAGTTTGTCATGCTCTTTTTAATCTTAATGTAATTATAAATTGAATTTACACTATTGTTTACATTTATTTTATATTGTAGTAAATGCGTGTATTTTGTACTGTCATTTTATTATATTCCGTCATATTTCATCTTATTAGATTGGAGATCTAATTGAAGTTATGTATTTTGCTGCCAAGTCTCCACAAGAAAGAAATGAATGGATGGAGGCATTTCGCATGGGTATGAACCTCTTTCAACTCTCCCTCTTCTCTTCTCATTGTATTTCTTGAAACTGATGTCTCCTGTGTACTACTATTATGTGTATATTTTTCTTGTTGTTCAGCTGCCATTGATAAAGGCAATGAGTTACTTTTAAAGCATCATCCTGGAGTGTATGGCCTGACTAATAAGGACAGGTGGAGCTGCTGTGGCAGAGCTAGGAGAGAATGTGAAGGGTGTGCTGATTCAAGAGGAGCTCTTAAAATGCTGGGAAAGAATGTTGAAAGTAAGTTTGTAGAGAAACTAGAAAGAGAAAGAAAGGGAGAGGTCATTGAGTGACTCGTAATGTATGTTTGTGTGCCTAGCTCTTTTAGTCCAGTTAATGGAACTGAAATTACTGAAACTGCTTAACAACAGCTTTCAATGTTTTCAAATTTCTTGCAGTGCTTTACACATACGCATGGTTCGTCCCTGACACACTAACACAAACACAGACTTACATACATTGTCTTGCCATAATTATGTCGACGTGGTAGAGCATCCTATTTGGCAATTATAATCTTGTGTGCACTTGACCCTTTAATCATCACTTTCAATGGAAACATTACATTAGAAGGCTGTGTATGCATGTATACATGTACATGTATATACATGTACTGCACTACATATGTTTATAGTAGGTACAGTGTACTTTATGTTATGATATATGGTAATGAGTACAATGTGTTTGTGTTAACTGCTAGTTCCTAAAATAACACAAAACAATCTGTTGCTGTATTGTTGCAATTCCATATAGAGAAAGGGGGAGAATTAGCGAGAGAGATAGATACGGGAGAGAGAGAGACAAAGGGAGTGAGAGAGAGGGAGGGAGAGGGAGAGGAAGAGATTGGAAGAGATTGAAGTAGAATGAGTGAGTGGTGAGAATGCAGTGGTCATTAATTTCACTTTTCTTCTCACAGCAAAAAAAGACCGCTCATTTACCACACCAATGGACTTTGTTGGTATTGGAGACACTCCCAGTTCTGCTTCCCCTCTCAAGAATTCCAGAGATGACCTCTCCAGCTCCATGAAGTCAGACGCAAGTGATACAACCCTCACAGACCAATTTGATGAGACTGGCCCCATTAGAAGGACATATACCATTTCTAATGACTCAAAACCTAAACCACACAGGTACACATGTACTGTATGTGTATACTGTACATGACTACATGACTCAAGAATATGCATGTGCTATATTATTGTACATGAAGTAATGAGTTTTATTTTTGTTCTCCTGTACTTTCTCTAATTAGTGCTCCTCCCACATCTTCCATATCTCCTAAGAGTCCAACTCTTAGTGATACAATAGAAGAAGCTGATGAAAGTGTTCCCTCTCCTTCTCCTCCTCCGACTGAAAAGAAAACCAAAGATGCTAGCCCTCGTCCTCCCATGCTGCCTGATGACATGACAAGGAGTGGAGCCAGCTCCCCAGCCCTCAGTACAGGTTATAAAGCACACACTGTCGTGTGACCATCACATGACATAAAATGCATGTGTCATGCTTACATGTACATGCACAGTACATTTGTGTAGTCTTTCCTTACAAAATACACATGTATTTGTTTTTCTCACAGTATGTGAGGATCTATAGCACCAAGTGTGTTCCAAATTTCAAGTGTTGTCTATTTTTTGTTTTGTTTTATTTTTGGGTATACGAATCCTTAGTATAGTCATAATAGAACAGCCTTGCCCCTATTACCACGACTACCATTATAATTTCATATTTTTATAATAGATTCTGGTAGAGGTACAAGCTCTCGTCCTCGGTCAATGGACACCACTGAAGGTGATAATCCACCATCAACCCCTCATTCTCTCCGCTCAAACTTCACCACTGTCACAACAGACTCTGATCCAACCAAAAGCTTGGGACATGATGTACTGGCTAGAGCTAGGGCTGGAGCACATGTTGATAGTATATCCATTATGTCTGATGCTAGTGCTAATTCAGGATTTTCAGCTACTCCATCAACCACTTCTCATGTTTCACGCATCAAGAGAGGATCAAGACCACAGGTAAGGAGTCTAAGGACCAGTTCTATTAATTGAATTGAGCAATTTAAGATACATGCACATGTGCAACTAAAATTTTATGAATTTATCTTTATTCCCTTTGTTCCTTAGAGTATACTAATGAAGGATGGTATTGTGATTCATGTTGAAGCTCCTGAGAATTCCACTACAGTTGATAACAGCTTATCAAAGCTCCACCAAGCCTGTAGAGTAAGACAGCTATTATTCCTTTTATTCATCGGTTAATTGATTATAATAGGATGGAAATCTTGCAATTGTTCAAGATGAGTTGGATACAGGTGCTCCAGTTGAAGGACCAGAGATGTTCAATGGAGTACCAATGCTACCATTATTCCTAGCCTTCCTTTATGACCACAGACATGTAAGAATATATTATCTTACCTGGCAATCATGCATCAAATTAATGTTGTTCCTATCCTAATAATAATAATAATATAATAATAATATTATTATTATTATGAAAGTGATGGTAATTTTCTACATATACATGTAGATTATTTCTTATCTTTTGGATCATGGAGCTGATCCAAATTCACTGGACATATCAACCAGATCTTGTTTGCTACACATGTCATGCCAAAAAGGTTGTATGGCCACTGTCAAGTGTTTATTAGCACATAAAGCTGACATTGATATGAGGGTGAGTACCTTCCTTCTTGCAACTTTCTCTTTATTTCCTTTTCCTCTCCCTCTTTTATATCCCCCTTCACCTCTCCCATTCTTAACTCTATGTAACTACATGTTTATTTTCTTTACTTTTCTTTCATTTTTATACTGGTCATGTACATGTATCTATTCCTTAGAGTCATGATGATAAGACACCACTCTGTGAAGCCAGCAAACATGGACACATGGAAATAGTCAAATTGTTGATAAACAGGTCAGTAAAGCGTGTCTGTACATATACATGTACACGTACATGTATATTATATTATGTTCTTTACTTTTTGTTATTTCTTTCTTTCTATTCTCTTTCCTTACTCTATTCAGTGGTGCTATTGTTGAGTGTCCAGGTATATCATATTCTCCATTGCATTATGCCTCAGAGGCTGGTCACGTCAACATAGTCCAACTATTACTAGACAGCAAAGCTAACTCACTAAGGAAGACTCAGCTAGGGAAGTCTCCCTACCAGTTGGCTTTTGAGAACAACCACTCGGACGTCATGTATGTGCTCCAGAGAACTCTTCCTCCTCCTGAGAGACCCTACCAGATTGAGTATTCTATCAAGTTACCCTCAGATCAGGTTTTAGCTTCTATATCTTTCCTTGGTGATAGCGATAAAATTATCACTGGATCATGGGATGGATTTGTAAGTAAAATAGAGCATATGTGTATTACATGTATAATGTTGTTAATGTTGGTATTTACATGTACATGTAATATGGTGAATAATGATCTGTAGCAAATAGTGTATTTATACATGTACGTAATTTTCTCTTATAGGCTAGATTATGGAGTGTAAATGATGATAATGGCCTACACATTGATAGAGAGTTCAGACTACCAGACACAGTTTTAAGTTCCTCATTTCACCCTCCATTCCTAGCTCTTGGTTCTGCTAGTATACAAGTGATAGACACTACTAGTCCTGACTATGAGTGGAGAAGAACTGTAGCTGATGATTCTTCTGATGATGAAAACCTTAGTGTAAGTATATTGACTTTGAATACTGATTGTTGAAGTACATTGTGTACTGCAGGATCCTCCACTCCATTTTGTTGCGTATACTTCAAGTGGGCATTTGATATCTGCATCAGTTGAGTCAAACCTTGTTAAGATCTGGCCATTAATCAACAAAGGCTCAATCATGATGGAGCCTGAGGGAGTCCTGAGGATTAAGGAAGACATGAAGCATGGACGAATTACAAGGTCAGTGGCTATATGTACTATACATGTAGTTGAGTGGGATCTGTTTTGTACAGTACATGTATGTGTATAATAACTCATAATCAGAATGTTTGAAACCATAAGATTTAGAAAATGTTAATGTCTTTGGCAAAAATGCAACTTCAAATGATTGGCAGTCTTATATCACAAATTCAAATCAATTTTGCCAAATTAAAGCACTCTGTTGTTACCTCTTACATAAATTTGGCTAATGAAAAATTTATGACTTAACATTAACTCAGGCTTCAATTACCTTAGTGTAGGTATTAATTGCGCTCTTAAATTTTAGCGTTTTTAAGGGGGCCCTGATTTAGCGAAATGTAATATTAGCGAAAATAGGAAGAAAATCAATGGTAAAACCCCCATTCAATAGCATAACACAACTCAAGAAGCCCAATCTATACATTTAAGAGCAGAACACTTAACAGGACCACCCTATTTACTGTTATCTTGTTACAGATCTTGCCTATCTTGTGTACTTGTTTACACAAGTACATAATAACTATTATTCTACCATGCTTGTTTTGAATTGACCAATCAGATTGCATTATATGAGGTGTCTAAATCACTTATAATACCCCGGGAAAATATTTAGAAACCTCCGGGAAATTATTTAGATACTTCTGCCAAAGTTTGGGAAATTTTAGGAATAAAAATGATGACAGCAATAATAGTAATGTTATTTTTGAATTGTTATGTGTACGTTTGTGCAGTTATTAAAGCTGAAGTGTCTGTCTTCATCTAGAGATATGTTTTGTGCTTTTGGAGGATGAGGTGAATTGGTATATCGTCACTAGCTACTGCTGTTTTTGTTTGTAATAATAATATTATTGAGGAAACGTCTTCTGGCATTTTGTTGATCTGAAATGCGCTTATAAATTTGTACACCATCCGTGCTTCTGTGACCTGTTCTTTTCATGATTAATTGTTCATCAACACCAGCTTGAAATAGTCTAGTAGCAGCAGTCATGCCGCGAAGTGAGTGGTTTGTTTGTAACCATTGATTCCCCAGTTGCTGCAGCAAACATTTTAAACAGTATTTCTCCATTAAGAAGAGTGGCCTGGTTGGAGCTTCTCCAAATCTTTCATTCTTTCCTTGCACCAGTCATTCAGAATATTTCTACCCATTATATTGCTTTTTTAGTTGTGCATGGCGCACAGTGCTGTTGTGCATCTTTAAATCCTTGTCCGTTGCGAAACAAGATGGTATATAGCACTAATGAAGTAGGTGGGGCAGTCATAAAATGATGAGATAGGCATTTCCAGAGCTATCAATGGCGGCTGTGTTAGTCGCATCTTTTGAGAACAGACGAGCATGTCTACCTAGTTGCTTTTCCACTCTAGTGCGTGACTTAAAATGAATTGGTTGCTAATGGTAAGGATTTTTATACTTTTTGTGTATCCTAGCTACAAGAAATGCATCTTATCTGATTGGACGCATGGTAGTACACGGTTATACACTTCTGTCTCGGTTTTTATGGCATTTATTGACCTCGGGACTGCGTCCCTCGGTCAATAAATCCCATAGAAACCTCGACCTCGGTGTATAACCTATACTTAGCGGCTGGTTGAATGGTTGAATTAGTGGTTTAAAGTACACTCGCTAAAAACGCTAAAATTAAGTGTCGCAATTAATACCCACCCTAAGGTACATGTATATTGAAATGCATGTACATTTACATGCATAATTGCATATACATTTAATTTACATTTGCGTAGGTTAAGTGTGTCTCCATGTGAAGATGCTCCGTGGTTGGCTGCTGTACTTCAGCCTGGCTCACTGTTTGTTCCTGAAGGAAATCAAAAAGTTCACATTTATAATTGGAAAGAAAAGAAAGTTTATCACATACTAGATACTGGTAATATATACATACATGTACATACAGACACTTCTCCTTTGCTTTTCTATTTACAATGTACATTGTATTTGACTCTTTTTTTTAATAGGTAAAGGTGGTTTAACACTAAATGTTCATGTGACATTTTCTCCTAATGGACAGTAAGTACAACATGTACTGTACATTGTAGCTAATATTTTTCTGTCTTGTTTTTATATTACAATTTGTTTCTATTTTAGATACTTTTTAATTGGCTACATAAATACACTCACTAAATGGCGAACATCAACTGGTGAAAGCATCAAAAACATATCCAGCCTTGGAAAAGGTAAGAATCTATAATCTACATGTACATGTATATCTATCACTTGTGTCTTCAACTTCCTCTCCCTTTTCCTTTCAGATGATGAGATATCTTCACTATGTTATTCTCCTAATGGTGAACACATAGCTGTTGGTCTTGCAAGTGGTGACATACACATCATACACTCAGAGACTGGCTCACTCCTATTCACTCTTAGATGCAATGTAAATATATCAGGAAGCACCTCTCCTCTCTCTCTCTCTCCTTTCTTTTACCTCCCCTCCTCTTGTTTTATCTCTTACATCAACAAGCATAGATGATAGTTACTTACATGTATACTCTCTCTTCTATCCCTCCCTCCCTTTTCCTCTCTCTACTCTACATAGGATGATAGATCAGCTGTCAGATCTCTATGTTATTCATCCACTGGGCTCCAACTTGCTAGTGGTCACTCAAGAGGCTCCCTACAACTTTGGAAAGGTAAGATAATATTTTCATTCTGCAAGCTAGCTCTTATGCTTATGTACAATTTTTGTCTCTTTCTCTGTAGTGTTTGGAAATGAATCAAATTGAACCATTATTGTAAATTATAATTATTAATTATTATTATTAATTATTGTCTTGTCACTTATTTTTTTCTGTTTCTTTATGTAAGGATCTTCTCCTATTACTGCCCTTTCTATTTCTTTCCCTTCATTGTTATTCTTATCACAGAACCAACACACACATGCACACTCCAGTGACACTGAGTGAATAAATGTTTTAATTTTTAAGTTTTGTATGATAATATTGTGATGATAGGAAAATTTTACACAAATTAATAAATACTTAAGGTGTGCGAAGCGCCAGAAAAATTTTCAACTTCACTTATATTCATAGTGAATATAGTATAGTCAGGCAGGGTCAGGCCCCACCTGACTAGATATAGTGGGTGTGGTCAAATTATTTTTTACCGGATACGTACCTGCACACGTGACAACATGTTATTATGTAATTCAAAATTGAGACAAAAAATAAATTAAGGCACAAAAGATAGCTGTCCTGAAGGAAGGCCAAGAACTGGTCCTGCTCCCAGTAAACAAATATATACAAAAAGGGATAATAAATGGAAAAAAAAAAACAGAAATGAGAAGAGAAATAATAGATATATAAGTCAGAGTAAAAAGATATGCTAAATAAATTGAAAAGAAATATTAAAGATGATTGAGTATCGATTTTTTAAAGACCAGAAGGGCCAAGTTCTTCAAAAAATTAATAGGCCCTTAAAATTGTGGGGCCCAGTTAATGTATGGCAATATGAAAAGTGAAAACGTAATATGCTTCGGACACTCCCTGTTCAAAATGGCCTCGAAAGCAAGTCGACAGCGAGGGAAGACGTCGAAGTCTCAAAGATCAAGCACTTCCTCTATAGATGCTCCCACAGTGGCCCAGCGTTCTATTATTAGTCAACTTTTTGTCATTTTCAAAGCTACACCAGTAATAGACAAGAGGGATTTTTATGAAGAGTATTCCAAGTTTTTTAAAGGTAAAAGCCGTAATGACTATCTTCAAGACTATGAGTTTACTGGTGTTAGTAACATGTTGAAAACTCTTGATATTTTTGAATATTATGGCAAAGCTAAACTCAAATTCTCACTCTGTCGTGAAAAGCTACTCAATTTATTGCTAAATCCTGAAGCTTACGCACACTTGCCTTCAGATGAAAAGGCTAGAATTTTTTTACTGCGTAATGGATTTGTTTCTAAAGAACTATGTGATTATTTTAATGTTTCATGTCTTGAGGATTTGCTTTCGGATTTGCTTTCGGATAGTGTGCCCTCTTCACCTGGTATAGTCCATCCTTCTGTATCTCATCCCTCTTCAGTTCCACAACCTCTTCTGCCACAACTTTCTTTGCCTTCTTCTCTTCCTCATCAATACCCTCCTCTACTTCGTCCTCCAAACCCTTCTCTACTTCCTCCTTCAAACCCTTCTCTACTTCCTCCTTCAAACCCTTCTTTACTTCGTCCTTCAAACCCTTCTTTACTTCCTCCTCTGAACCCTTCTCTACTTCCTCCAAATTCTTCTCCACTTTGTCCTCCAAACCTTTCTCCACTTCGTCCTCCAAACCCTTCTTCACTTCCTCCTCCAAATCCTCTACTTCCTCCTCCAAATCCTTCTCTACTTCCTCCTTCAAACCCTTCCCCACTTCCTCGTCCAAACCCTTCCCCATTTTCTCCTTTATATTCTTCTTCATCCGCTCCTTTTCTTCCGTATCATTCTCCTTCTGGGTCCTATCATTCTGTCCCTCCCCATATGGTTTATACTAATAATCCATTGCTACCGGCTGCATCAAATCCATCTGCTCGTCAAGCTCAATCTGCCAATAAAAGACCAGCTATGTATGAAAGTGATAGAACTGCTGGAGATGATGACAGCTCTCCACCAGCACCAAAGAAAGGCAGTATTAACATTACTGATAATAATCAATCTTCAACTCGTGATGATGTTAAGAGCGTTGATAATATTCAAGGTAAATATAATTAATAATTTTAACTAAATAACTGTACAAGTTTTCATATTCTTGCTTCACTTGTGATTCATCTAATTTTTAGGGAAAAATCCAGTAGTTTTTGCAGAAATGGCTCAGACAGGCCCAATGGATTGTGATCCTTTATCTACTGGTCCTCCTCATTTTCCTGATTCTTCTGTTCATCCACGTGATGTTCATCATCCTCCATCGTTTGTCCACAAAGATCATCAGATACCTGTATTAGACAGACTACCTCCTCCTCCAGAGTTTAAGAGAGGAGAGAATGTTAAAGATGTGGTCAGGAAAATTAATTCCTACGCTGAGATGTTTACTGGTATAATCTCTTCTCGTGGTAAGCATGTACCCCTGTCGGTGGTTGAGGATGAACTAAAATTATTATTGGGAAAGGCTAAGAGGCATGGTTACTATATCAATTTGAGGGACATTGATTTTTGGGTCAATTGGGAGAAATTGCACAAACGTACAATTGAGTTCATCAAAGTTTTTTGTTGGCATTCTCCAATCACTACCTTATATGAGCTGCAGAGGATTCTGAATGAATCTGAGAATGTCAGTGACTTCAAAGAGCTCAAGATGGGCCCCTTGTTAAAGCATCCTGATATTATACGACTCTTTAAAGTCCCTGAAGATCTTGAGACTGTACCAGAGATAACAGCATATGATGTGCATTCCAAGTTGTTTCGATTTTTAGATAAGAGTAAGAATAAGAAAAGTAAGACACAGTTAGAGGATTTTTTGGATTTCTTGAGTCATACGTTTTCCATTGAGTCTCCTCTTCACATTTGTATCCGTATAACCAGTTATCCTCTTGCATTGCAAGTAAGAATTACATGTAGTTTAGTTTATGTTGCATTTATACATAACCAGAATACCTGTAAAAGCTCTATTGTTGATGTGGAATTTTGTGCTGTGTAGTTGTGTGGGATGTATTACTACAAATTAAGCTGCCAATTATAAAGTACATGGTGTTAATTGACCTTTTAAAAGCATAAAAGTAATCCTAATTACAGAGAAAAATCACCGTCTTGTTTTATTGTATAGCAGGATATTTTTATTCCTAGAAAATTTCATTGTCCATTCAAGCAGGCCTTACAATATGTTTTTGTTGATTGTATTTCTATTGATAAACATTAATTGTTATGCATGTAACTATTCAAGCAGTCATGCCCACTTGGTTTTAAATTTTCATAGTCTAAAATTTTGGTTTGGAACTTTGACCATTGAAAAAAATTAAGTTAACGAAAATTTCCTGCTATGTAGTATAAAAATTGTGCTTAATGATTAGAACTTTAAAATACATGTACATGTAATTAATATTCAGTTGCACCATACAACAATTAACACTATCACTATGGCAGTATATAGATACTGTTGCACATCCTTGACTTTAATTTATTGTATAATATTATTATTTCATGTATGTTTGCTTTTTAGATTAACTTCAAATTTCGTAGATCACAAAGAGAGATAAAAGAAAGGATTGAGTCTGAGCTAGAAAAAAATGTCAGTGGAGAAATAGAGTTTGAGCTCAAGAATTGGAAGAAAAAATTATCAAGAATGTCATCTGAAATACCAAAGGAATTAGAACGCAAGGATCCTATCCAACTATTGAGTTCATTCTTTGAAGCCTCACTCCAATATTTCCCTCGTCATTTACAATCACGCCTGACTGGATTTTTTCAGTTTTTACGAGATCATCCTGGACTGCGTGATCTTTTCTTACTAGCTATGTACCAAGGAGTGTACGGTATACAAAAGAAGGTCCATGAGGAAGAAGCTGCTTCATCACCTGTTGCTCCTTTTGCTTCGAGCCATTCATCTGTCATGTCTCAGGTGATGACTATACCTGATAACTATCGGAGCCAAAGTGAGTGTGTACATGTACACACATGTACATGTAGCATGCATGTACAGTACATGACTGTGTGTACTCAAAACTGCTCATTTTGAGCAGTTTTGAGTTTGTCTATTGCCACCTGGCTTTTAGCACTTCTTGATGTATTGTATTAACTCCCTCTCTTCTCTTTTACTGTTTTTGTTTTATTTCTATCTCTTATAGGTGAAATATATAATCATTTATTACAGATGCTGAAGTCTCTTCAGTTTCCAATTGATTTATCCTCACTAGTTGAGACAGAGAAGAGTTTAATAGTTAAGTTAGGAGCATCTTCCTTTGAATCGTTTGGTCATGGAACTTTCCTAGAGTTCCTCACAAATCATAAAATGCTTCTTAAGTTTCTTGGTGGCAGTACTATAGGAAGTAGTAGTAGTGAAGGTAGGATGAGTACAGGGGGACAAAGGAAACGAGAGGAAGTTTTAGAGTGTATAAGACAATTAAAGGATCTCTCTAACCAGGTTTGAGTCAAAATATTTCATCACATTCATTCTCATTGGTATTATGATTACCGATTTTGTGATTAATTTTTTATTCACACATTTTGCATGTTATTATTCTGTATGGTAAGAATTATTTTTTGTATTTAATAGGAAAAGGTGTCTCTTGTAGTAATGAAGCAGTTTAATGTTCGTTCAGTATCACAACTCGCTTGTGGTGATATTGAAAAGCTTATTTCAGATGCTCAAATCTCTCCTACCACTTCCTCTTGTTCTGTTCGGTATCTTTCAGCATTATTGAGCAATAGTGAATACACTACTGATGCATCAACGAGTCTATCAATGACTTCACAAGATGCTTTGCAATACCTGAAATCTGCTCCTTTACTAGCTGATCTTGCTCTCTGGTCTAATTGGAAACTTGTCTTTGAGCCTTCTTGTGGCTCACTTTCTCATTTTCTCTCCTCTCATCCTGATGTTCACACACTATGTGTTGATGATGGGGTTTTTCTTAAAATAGATCCTAATTCAAGTGTGAAGGATTTTGCAAATGCTCTTTATGTTAGTCCATCACAATCATCAGGGCACCTTGTGTCAATGGTAGTTAGATCTGGAAGTACTAATAACATACCAGCTCAGTTGCTAGCTCAACATGTTCAGACAAGACTCTCTGGTTTACTTAGTGATACCATGCCTCCTGAAAAATTTGTTTTTGAGTGTTTGGTTTGTATGCCAGTGGAATTAGCAGTTACTGTTGGTAAAGAGGTAAGCATAAATTAATCTCTTTTTACCTTCACCTATAATTGCTTCATAGTATTGAAGCTATTTTTCACTTAAACTGTTTTCTTTATTGTCAGGTATTTCTTGACCCTTTAAAGAAATTACATGGTTCATCGAAAGTTGATAGTTTATTGCTTAAAGCTACTGATGATAATCCATTGAGCAGAAGTTTCTTACATACTCTAGGATTGAAGTTGGGTATTAAGGTATGGATTGATGACTATCTTGCCCGAGGCAAGCAGCCTAACACTATTCCTGCTACTGAACCAGATTTACCTGTTTTAAAACCTGTCAATCCTGATTTAAATAAGGTTTGTCACTTTAAGCTTTACATGTACATATACATGTACCTGTAATTTTGTTTTTGTGTATACAGTATAACAGATTAACAGTATGATACACTAATGTCACTAGTTTTATAGCTACATGTACATTGCATCTCTTTTATTAGATGGATTTTAGTGAAGAATCTGTGGCTGAATCTTTTCTTGAGAGTTCGTTTAATAATCAATCATCAAATCCTAGTACGTCACTGAATGAACCTGAAGAATCAAACACAATATTCACTGATGTGCTGCCTTTATCTCTTACCTCACCTTTCTCTGTTGAGGAGGAGAGGGATAATGCACTTAAAATTGTAGAGAGCATTCGTAGTGAAGAGTTTGGGATTGGTTTAGAGTTTGATGAAAAAACTAAATCAGTAATGAGCAAGGGAAAGGGAAGACTTGACCGCAGTCTACAGCGTCTCTCTGAAGAACTCTACAGTAAAGACACTCACTTTGTACTTGAACTAGTTCAAAATGCTGATGACAACTCTTATCCTGTCTTGACCTGTGGCTCTACTTCATCATTTGTTCCCAGTTTGAAGTTCACGTTATCAAAATCTTGCATAGTAGTCCTCAATAATGAACTTGGTTTCAGTGAAAAGAATATAAGAGCAATATGTGATGTTGGTCGTAGCACCAAAGACAGGAATGCCTCTGGATATATTGGTCAGAAAGGTATTGGTTTTAAGTCTGTTTTTCGTGTGACGAAAACCCCAGAGATTCATTCACGTGGGTATCATATACGATTTGATTCTAGTGTACCCATTGGATACATATTACCAGAGTGGGTTGAAAGCTCCATCAGTGACGATATAATTGATCCAGGAGAACTAGCCAAGTGAGTACAAAATAGTATAGCCATGTTCTGTGTTTCTCACAAAGCATGTTAAGGAAACTAAGCCTTAATTACGGCATATACATGTAGATTGAGTTACTTTTAAAATTTATAGTAAATCTAAATTAGATTCGAATTATGCAGCTCAAACTTTCATAACAACATAAAGTCAATTGTGTATCAAAAATAATTATAAATCGAGAATTTTTCTTTGTTAATTTTAGCAATAATTTGGCCTGAGACCATGTACTAGTACAGGGTCTTTGGCCCAATTATGGAGCAGCTTTAAAAATTTATTAAAAATCCAAATTTGACTCAAATTTTCTACACAAAATAAAAGCATGTACATGTACGGGTGTATATGTATCAGAAAATGTAATAAAACTACTAAGTTCCTTGCCATGTTTCATGAAACTGACAAATACCAGTACGAGATATTTTGTCAAATTTGTAGTCAACTTTAAAAATCCACTGACAAGAAGCCGAGCACTATGCCAAATCCTTTGGGAAACCCTGGTCATGTCCAAATTTTATTCAAATTGCAATTTTTAAGCGTTTAATATAAATTGTTAATTAATAGTAATTTTTTTTCTGTGTAGGTGGACAACTAAAATAGTTCTTCCATTCAAATCAGATTCTACCAATGCTGGTTCTAGTGACATGATGAGCCGCTTTCATGACATTCAGCCATCTTTACTTCTCTTTCTGAATCGACTGAGATGTATTATAATTGAAGATTTGGTAAGAAAATGTAAACTGACTCTAAGAGTATGAATTTATAAAAAGTAATGCAGATGTACAGGTACATGTACAGTACTTACATAAACATTATGCAATGACCACTTGGCAGTTACAAGGTATACCGTATGGGTAGTAAATTTCGAGGGTATAAAATTTCGTGTTTTAATGAAAAGCTCTTAATTGTTTAATTTCAAGGGGGTTAAATTTTGCATTTTTGCACGTGCACTTGCACTGAGTGATTGATTATGACATGCTACGCATGCGCAGTGAGCATTTCCATGGCTTAATTTTCGTGGTTAAGAAGTCACCCACGAAATCTGCAAAATTAAATACCCCACAGAATTTTATACCCGTACGGTAGTATCAGCAAATTTTACGTAGTTGATTTATATGTACATGTATGTGTACATATAGCATTGCATAATTTACATTGCTGCTAACATCATAATGAATTGAATGAGAAGTGAGTTCAGTCACTTTTATTTTATCATTTTAGGAGTCAAAGGTTATTCGTAGCATGAAACGTCATGATAGAAGTAATGGTATTATTGAGATAAGGCACAATGATGGTGTTGATAAGTGGCTGCTTGTTAGAAAAACACTACATGAAGCTAATAAGGTGAGGATGTGGCATTGAAAGTATGAAGGAAAGATTTGGAAATGGGTGTGTATATATTTGTATAAAAGAGGCACTGACCAAACATAACAGCCTCTTTTCATTGTTACATGTATAATTATTTATCTTTCTTTCTCTCTTTCTTTATGTACATGTACATGTAGTACAAGCCGGATGTTTCAGCTACAGAACTAGCTCTTGCTTTTCCATTGCAAGATGATCTACACAATTTTAATTATGTAAATAAATGTAATTATTGTGTGTATGGTACATGTACTATTTTGTACAATAGCCCTTTATTAGAAATCAGGCCCAATTTTTAATTACACTGTTTACAATCATACATTGTTATACAATTTGTGGTATTTTTAATTAGGACCTTAGCCCTCAGCAAGTATTTGCATTTCTCCCATTGAGAAGTTATGGCTTTAAGTTCATAGTCCAAGGAGACTTTGACTTACCTAGTTCAAGAGAAGATGTTAATGCTAACAGTGCATGGAACCAGTGGCTAAGGGAAGAAATACCTTCACTTTTCATGAAGTCAATAGATTGCTTTGAGGTAATTGCATGAACATGATTTGCTTGTATTTTTAATACTTGATAATGAAAATAATCAAAATTTTGTTTGCCTTTTGGTCGATATACTGTAATAAAACTTTCCTTTTTCTAGTCTCACCTGACTGCCATAGAAGCTATTATTCACATATTAAAGTTTATACCTCTGGAAGGAGAAGTGCATGATTTTTTTCAACCTGTCACCAGTGAGATACTGCGTATTTTTAAGGAAAGGAAGTGTCTACCCACAGAGCCCTTCCCTGTGCACTCTTCATCTCCTACTGATTCTCCTTTTGATGCAATGAGAGAAATCACTTCAATTATATCTGAGATACGAAGTCTCAAGGGTTCTAGTGCTGGCATACAATGGAAGCAACCATCACAACTTCTTTTAATTAAAGAGCAGTCAATACAGGACTGCATTCCTCAGTCGTTATTAACTGCTTCTTTAAAATTGTATTATCTTAATTCGGCATTAAACAATCACTTATCTTCCCAGATCTGCTCACAGTTAAACATTGGTTCCATTAATATTGATCACTTGATGTCCGTAGCACAGTATGTTCTCTCAAGTTATCACCAACACAAAGAGGAACAATTTATGTCACTGCAGTCTAGTGCTAGTAGTGCTGAAGATGAATCAGATGAGGAAGAGGTTGCTGTACATCCAGTCAAATGTTTGAACCAATGGATAGCATTGTGGCTGTCTTGTGTGCATTTATTGTGTGAAGGAGTTGGAGGGAGTACTGATGAAATGTCTGTACTAAGGAAACTAAAGAGCTTTCCAGTCATTCCATTGTCCAATGGAAATATTGTCTCTATTGATAGTGGTCCTATTTTCTTTCCTCCTGTTTCTAGTAAAGGTAAGTAAACTTAGTGCTACTTGAGTTCTTGTGTTAAATATTACCTTGATTGATTGTATGTACGGTATATATATATAATGGGATCAATACTGCATTTTTTAGGTTATTTTATCCAGTTATTTCTTTTAAATGTTACATTTATAATTGTATGCAATGCTAGTTGCTCATACAATGTACGTGTACATTGGTATAATAATACATATATTGCATTACAACTTTATGTAGATTCATGCCATAAATTTAGGTTTGTGCTATTATTTTTATGGTACCATAGTTGCTTGAATATTTAAATGTACTGCATGAGCACTATGCCAAAATCCTGTGTGATACCCTTTTATAAATACACATATTTTGCGCAGTGTAGGTGCTCCGGATTTAGATTCTTGTTGTTTAACAGTCAAGGTTGCGTGCTCAAGTCTACTTGCTATCTTTTTATTTTATAAAATGCAATTTTTTTCGTTGTAAGAACTAAAGGCATGGGTGTATAATTGAGCAAATACAATTTTTAAACAAGTAAATAAAAACA